GCTGGGAGGAAGATCAGCAGTTTAAATTTTGAGTCCTTCTTCAGGTACACCTCGCCTACCCTTCATTCAAGGGGTTCTGTCTCTGTAAACTGATGCAAGTCTAAGAATTGATTGAGGGAATTGAAGTTCAATTTTTGATTACTTGGTCTCATACGTATTAAGAATTTAGTAGGCTTCCCATGTATCTTACTTTTAGGAAAACCATGATCAAATAGCTAACACCATAGTTCTCTGTAAGTCAGAATATTCCGATTGCTGCTTTGCTCTGCTATCTATTAAGGTAACTAACCTCAATTTACCTTTGGTGATTCTACTACCTCCATTTGGCTCCTACCATCCCACAATCCAATGATCCTCTTTGTGTTTTGGTTTTCCGATTGAATGGCAGCAGTTCCCACTGTAAGTTCAGACCCACAGAGAAAAGTGATTGCACAGTTAGAGAAGGAAGCTGGGGCTTCCCTGATAAATTTATTTCTCACAATCGTGGTGAAAGGTATGTCATCTGAAACCTCCCGGCGTTGATGAGTAGCTCTTAAATGACAGATCCATTTGAACATTCCAATCTCCTTAAGTCTTTGAATTTGTTCCTCTATAGTATACAAGACAGGTCTGGCATATCAACTTCATTTAGTATAGGCCACATTTTAGTCTGTGTTTCAGGCAACGAAAGAAAGTTTTCAATACCTTTCTTACTCCCTGATCTGGAATATTCGATGCAAAATCTCTGATTAATGGGCCCATATCAATAAGTTCTTCCTGGTCTGACTTTACGTCCCTTCTGCGTATACCCTGTACCATTACTATTCATTCCTATACATATTCCCAAGATTTTTGCTTGTATAAATTGGAAAAATAATGAAGGTCTTTTGCATTGGAAATTGAGCAGCTTGAACTTTAAAAAGTGCCAATATGGGATGCTGGTGTTGCAGGTGGCTGCTTAACCTGTTGTGCCACAACACTGGCGCTGGAGTAGCTGTTTCTACTGATAGACACTGCTCATGAGAATTTAGGAGTTCAGTGTCCCCTGCTTCATCAGAATTTTGCCATATGCCCCCCACCCCCACTTCCAATTGTCAGAATTCTACTCCTTCCCAGTCAGTGCTCTGACTTTAAAAGAATCCTGAAGCCGGCACTGTGGCACAGTGCGTTAAGCCTCCATCTGCAGCACTGGCATCTCATATGCGTGCTAGTTTGAGTCTCGGCTGCTCTACTTTCAATCCAGCTCTCTCTGATACACCTAGGAAAGCAGCTGAGGATGGGCCAAGTGCTTGGGCCCCTGCAACCACGTGGGAGAAGCTCCTCGCTCCTGGCCTCAGACAGGCCCAGCTCTGGCCTTTGCAGCCATTTGGGGAGTGAACAAGTGGATGGGTGCTTTCTCTCTCTGTTCTCTCTGTAATTCTGATTTTCAAATAAATAAATAAATCTTTAAAAAAAAAAGACTCCCTTTAAGGTTGGGGATTCAATTTGTTTTGTAGTTAATCTACTCATAGGATAAGATTCCAAGTTTAGTTTTCAGCAATCTCAGCTCTGTGATGAGAATATTTTTTCAGGGCAGACATAGTAACTTTTAGGTCACTTATACAGTGCTGAACTAGGCATTCAAATCTCTGAGCACATCCGTTTCTCTGTTTTTTTTTTTTAATTGTGACCATGTGATTTTTTTTCTTATTTTCTTTTTTTTCAAACTTTTATTTAGTAAATATAATTTCCAAAGTACAGTTTATGGATTACAATGGCTCCCTCTCCCGTAACTTCCCTCCTACCCGCACCCCTCCCATCTCCTGCTCCCTCTCCCATTCCATTCACATCAAGATTCATTTTCAATTATCTTTATATACAGAAGATCAGTTTAGTATATATTAAGTAAAGATTTCATCAGTTTGCACCCACACAGAACATAAAGTGCTGCAAAATACTGTTTCAGTACTAGGTATAGCATTACTTCACATTGGACAACACATTAAGGACAGAGATCCCACATGAGGAGTAAGTACACAGTGACTCCTGTTGTTGATTTAACAATTTGACACTCTTGTTTATGGCATCAGAAATCTCCCTAGGCTCTAGTCGTGAGTTTCCAAGGCTATGGAAGCCTCTTAAGTTTACTGACTTCGATCTTATTTAGACAGGGTCATAGTCAAAGAGAAAGGTACCTCCTCCTTTGATGGCCCGTTCTTTCTACTGGGATCTCACTCGCAGAGATCTTTCATTTAGATCTGAAGTTTCATTAGGTTTTTTTTTTTTTATTTTCCAGAGTGTCTTGGCTTTCCATGCCTAAAATACTCTCATGGGCTCTTCAGCCAGATCTGAATGGCTTAAGGGCTGATTCTGAGGCCAGAGTGCTGTTTAGGACATCTGCCATTCTATGAGTCTGCTGTGTATCCCACTTCCCATGTTGGATCGTTCTCTCCCTTTTTGATTCTGTCAGTTAGTATTCGCAGACACTAGTCTTGTTTGTGTGATCCCTTTGACTCCTAGACCTATCAGTGTGATCAGTTGTGAACAGAAATTGATCACTTGGACTAGTGAGATGGCATTGGTACATGCCACCTTGATGGGATTGTATTGGAATCCCCAGGCACATTTCTAACTCCACCATTTGGGACAAGTCCGATTGAGCATGTCCCAAATTGTACATCTCCCTCTCTTATTCCAACTCTTATATTTAACAAGGATCACTTTTCAGTTAAATTCCCTGTTTTGTGCAGTACAGTTAGGATCAGTCAGCCAGTTTCATTATGTTCATCATTTTGACAAAAAGAGTTTGTTTATCTCTGTTGCCACATTGCATCATGGATTATCAGTGCTGTCTTTATTACTGAAAATAGAGTCATTAATCAGATTAGAGAACCAAGTCCAGAAACCCCAGAACCAATTCAAAAATTTCATCATTAAGATTCTTCTCTAGGGGCCGGCACTGTGGCATAGTGGGTAAAGCTGCTGCCTGTAGTTTTGGCCTCCCATATGGGTGCATGTTAAAGACCCAGCTGTTCCATTTCAGATACAGCTCTCTGCTATGGTCTAGGAAAGCAGTGGAAGATTGTCCAAGTCCTTGGGCTCTTGCATCCACGTGGGAGACCCAGAGGAAGCTCCTGGCTCCTGGCTTTTGATGGGCCCAGCTCTGGCCATTGAAGACATTTGGGGAGTGAACCAGTGGATGGAAGACCTCTCTCTTTCTCTCTCTCGCTGCCTCTCAAGTGAATAAATAAATCTTAATAAAATTAGATTCTTCTCTAGAACCACTCTCAGTACTAGAGTCTGTATTAGTCAAGGTTCTCTAGATTAAAAGAATAAATGGAATGTATAAATACATATACACATAACATTAAGCATCACAGTGTGTAAACATACATGCACTACCAATCCACCTATTCATGGAAAAATGTGTATGTGTGTGTGTATATATGTATTTTTTCCACATTTATATGGGCATATGTATATGTATATGGAAAACAGAGCGAAAATATGAGTGAATGAGACAGAGATATTGATTTATTTTAAGAAATTAGCTCAACTTATTTTAGAAGATGACATGGCTGAAATTTGAAGGCAAACTGACAGACTAGGAACTTGTGGAAATGTTGGTGTGGCAGTTCAAGTCAGAAGGCATTCTGGAGGCAGAATTTCTTCAGGGGATGACAGTCTTTTCTCTTAAGGGCTTCTACATTATAGAGGGCAATTTGCTTTACTCAAAGTCTTATTTAAATGTTAGTGTCATGTAAAAAATACCTTCCCAGCAACACCCAAATATCTGGGTATGGAGGCCTAACAAAGTTGACACAAAAAATTAACCATCACATTGTGTACATATATACTAACTACCAATACATCTACTCATGGAAAAATATATGTGTGTATATGTATGTATATATATAAAATATAAACAAATTATTTATATTTATATAAGTAGGTATTTTCCATGTGTATGTGGACATCTATATGTAGAGACATTTTCAAGATGGATAGATTTTGTGTGTAGGAGGTTATATCTGTATGGGTAAGTAAATATAGCACTTACATAAAAAAACAGAGAACTATATGCAATGGTTAAGGCACTTTTCCCTTACAAAATCAGTTTGTGGGTATAGCTATCTTAAAATACTCCAGATTTGGTGATTTGAAGCATTAGTTATATTTTATTAAGAATCTTCTGTGTGATTAACTTTATTTTCTAACATAGTGCTCTCAGTGGATATTCAACACAAGTAGTGTAAGCCTGAAGAATTCTAGTAGCTGTTGCATTTTCACACATGATATGAAATAATTTCTGCCACCTCAGTTTGTGAAATAATGTACATACTCAAAATTCCACTAACACAATAGCCAGGAATTAGAAGCAACCTAAGTGTCCTGATAAGCTGATGAATGAATAAAGGAAATGTGGTACATATACACAATGGAATAATATTCAGCCCTCAAAAGGATGAAATCCTGTTATTTTCAAAATCGCAGATGGAACTGGAGATCATTATGTTATGTGAAATAAACCAGACACAGAAAGACAGGTTGTATGATCTCATGTAGAATCAAAAACGTTGATATCGTAGAAGTTGTGGTTGCAATGATGGTTACCAGAGTCTAAGAAAAATGAGGATGAGAGGTAGCTAATTAATGTATGCCAAGTTATACTTAAATAGAAGAAAGAAGTACTGCTATTCTGATGCACAGTAGGGTAACTAAAATTAGTGATAATGTACTATAATTTTCTTTAAAAAACCTAGGAGAAAGAATTTTGTATACTTTCACCACAAAAATTGGCAAATATTTGAGGAGGTAGATATATTTGTACTGATTTGAACATTATACAATACAATGTACACTTACTGAAACATCACATGGTACCCCATAAATATATACAGCATTTATGTAACAATTAAAAACAAATAAAAATATTAAAATATTCTCAAGAAAATGCATAAGCAGAAGCTGCATTTATAGATTTTGCAGTGAAAGATGGTAGCTGTTATATGCTGATGAGAATATTGGACTTTTTAATTCAGATTTTTAAAGAGCGAGAAGAAGATCTAAGGCGTTTGTCTCGCCCATTGGAATGCTCTTGCTTCCGAACATCTATCTGGGATGAAACTCTCTATAAGGTGTGTATGTTTCCCTGAGTTTCCTCATTTTAAGAGCATGAAAGAAAGCTAGAAGAATGTTACCAAACTAAAAGATTTTAAACTATTTCATAGCCATCTAATTTGTTTTACTAAAAATGAAGTATCTACAACAAATTGTTGGAAGAAAATCAAGCTTAACATTAGAGATTTTGTTTTGATCTTAGATTGGGTCGACATAGATACATATCACACTGAATTATCCAGTATGGTCATGATTAATTTGATATTGATGATATTGATCTTTGTCATAGCAGGTGCTTCATTAATTGGCCATCATCCATTTTGACCTGGTGTGGTCTCAATGCTGATTGGAGTTATATCTAGTATTCAGATACCTGTACAGGATATAAGGTAGTCTACCTAAAACTGGAAGTCAGTAGAAGGAAAATATTTAGTGGAGAGATTGGAGAAGGGAGTCTTAGAATGAAACATGCCCAGAGTATTGCAGCTTCAGTTTTCATAGCAAATTGGAGACCAGCATTCTTTTAACCAGAAAGATTATTCCCATTGTTGTAATGGGTATTACACTGCTTGCAGTAATTGTAGAAGTTACAATAATTGTTGTGTCACAGATGAAGCTGAAATTACATTATTGGCACATAGGCTCCTGCTTCCCCCCTTTCTCCTACTGATCTAGTGATTTGAAGGACTGGCTCCTTGCGAGTTCTCCTGTGGTCAGCCTTTTCCTTCAGACTGCTTCTGGTATCCATTGACAAGTGTGACTCTGGGTGAAAAGCATTCTTCACTGTCACTAGTAGCTAGAGCTTCAGTATCAACTGCATCTGACAAGGGTATCTACAACCAGAAGCACAGAAACCTGACTTGCCAAGGAGAAAAAACATTGGACTTTAAAAATAGCCATTACTTTTTTTAAACTAATTCATTTTTTCCTCAATATTATGTTGACCCAGCGTCACTCTAATAACAGATCATTTTGAGATAGCTGTCTAGGAAATACTGTTCTAGATTAATATGGGCCGAATTTCTCTCAAAGCCTTATTCCCATAGAACAGGTAACCGTGAATAAGGATGGACATGACGCACTGATAAGAACCAACTGCGGTGTGAAGGATGGCAATACATAACACGACCAAAGACAATTGGCTAATCACAACACTGCTGTGAGTGACAATGTCTCTGCTGTGGTTAGCTTTGGTGCCTTCTCCAAGGTAAATTCAGCAGTGACATTAACACCGACCTGGGAACTTGGAACCTGAACCCCCATACCTAAGTAATAAAACTAATTGGAACAGAGACATGGCACTACTATCTCTTACATCAATGTTGCATAGAGCTGACGTAAATTTTTATATTAAGTTTTATTCAACAAGCACTCATTGCATATCTGCCTGATGCTGTTGGAAACACAAATGACTAAGACCAGGTTCCTGCCCTCTAGTAGGGGAGAGAAGAACAAAGTACACCTAACCAGACAAATTGGAGTGAGAATGAAAGAAATATTATAATGGAGATACAAATAAAAGAGACTTAAGAGAATAGAGGGAGGGTGTGGCTAATTTCAGCTGCTTACTTTAGTCATATTCCACTAGATGAAATTAGTTTTAGGCAAACACGCAGTGGACCATTTTTAATTCATTTGGATCAATAATTTATACAGCTGACAACAAAACTTTGGAATTGATAATGCCACTGGTTTCTCTTGTAATGGTATATTATCCCATTGAAGGGTGGGGCCATTTGTCCATGTGGCTCTGATATTTTCCAAAAATTGATTCTTGGTTGTATGTTAAATATAGCATTATTAGGTTCCGCTCTTGAGAACAATCTACATTGTTGGATTTGAATGTTTGTTGAATGGCTGGATTAGAAGCTTGTTAGCATGCTAGATCATATTTTTCAACTTTTTTCCTAAGACAACATTATGGCAATTACAATACTTGTTAATTTTTAATTATCAATGGGAAGAAGTTTCTCTAGCATTTTATAAAAGTGTTTGAACTTAAATGAATTCAAGGATAAAAAGCAAATATTAGCTTCATTTTCTCATTTCATTTGTTTTATGTCATATTTAATGTCAGTATTTTTTGGGAATCAATTATCATATTTTCCTGTTCATATGTTATAGTGTGCTTACTCATTTCAAAGGTTTAGGACTTTGTACCTGTTAGTAATATTACACCGTGCTTCTATTCTGTTAGGCTTGGTCGAGCATTGTTTATCAACTGATTCCCAATGTTCAGCAGCTGGAAATGAATCTAAGGAATTTTGCTGAAATTATCGAAGCAGATGAAGTACTTCTGTTTGAGAGAGCTACTTTTCTGGTAAGGACTTGCTGCTCTGCAGAGGTACTTCACACTGTACCTACAGTGACAGAGAACAACATGTTGCCACTTTCAGGAATAATCTTCTCTCTATAGTGATTATTTCAGTGTGCACAGCCTTAATTATAAAGTGGTATGGTCAATAAGGGAAAGAAGCTCGTTAGTGTTAAGACTTTATTAGTTAGTAAAACTTAGAGTTTTGCAAGTATACCTTATTAGAGACTTTATATTATTGCTGGTAATAACTGTTCATTTGTGTTAAAGGATTCCTATTTTCTAATTACATTTATTTTGAAATGTAGGATATTGTCCTTTTGAGAAAAACTAGCATCCCACATTTTTCTTCATAATAGTGAGTTGAAAACTTAACATGAAAGAGATGTAATGGTCAACTCCGTGACATAGATGGCAATTCAGATAGAGAAGGGGAGGAAAAGGAGGCATGTTGGTACTTATAATTTTCTTATGAATTGAGCTGTGCAACTATTATCAGATCCTAGTCTTCCATAGGCCTGGAGTGGGGAAGGCAAAAAGCAGTAATATGAATAACTTTTTTAAAAAATGGTACAAAAACTAAGTTGTGAGTCACAACACACTGTGTAAGTAATTGCTAATTGGCTTAGTAAATATAACTCGGAGTGCAGGTTCTAATAAATAGTTTCTGGATTCCTATCAGTGTTTGGGGATTTTAGACACATTTAATATCTCTGAACTTGTCTATCCTTTAATAAAATAGGGGTAGTACTATCTATATCATAGGCTTATTGTGTGCATTAAAATTGGACAAGGTAACACTAAACACCTAGCACAAGCCTTTACTGTATAGTTGATAAAATTATTGAAGATTGGTGCCTTCTGCTGTTAGAGGATCAAAGGACAGAGAATCCAAAGAATGAGCTTTCCCTCTTCCTTTGTAGAAACGTTATTTGTAACTACAGCAGTCTTTGGGATCCATACTTTCTGCTTGCTGGTATAGCTGAGGCAAGGAAACCTAACCAGAGTGTCTGCATCTTTTTCTCCTCATTTCCATACCTTATCACTCACCTATGTTATGTCCCCTGAAGTTAAAACACAGTACAAGTTCCATTATTATGTGTGTGAATTGAATGGGGCCTTTGGGTTTGTCCAGGCCCAGTAGTTGTTGAAAGGTTTTCTGCCTCAGTCCATTGGAAAGGGACACTTTTCTGAAACTGCGCCACCCTGAGCCCCATATTTCCTGCTACTATGAGTACAATAAGCAAATAATCTATTCTTTGTGTGTTGATGTACATTGCATGACAGATCCTACTTCAGCAGTGTTCACCTTTCATGGCTACCACACATAGACACAGAGATTGTCTTAAGAGTAGCTTTCTTTTTCTAACAGTAATAGATAGCTTTTGTTCCTCTTGAAGACAAAATTTAGGTGATGATTAACCTATGATTGTTTTACTAAGGGGAGTGAAGTCAAGGCAAGGTGTACTTGTTCTTTCTTTGATATAGGAAATTTATTTTATAAGTTTCACATGGTCTTGGAATTTCCCAGTGAATCTTCTTTTAGCAAGTGACTCAGTTTTGCTTCCAATGTTAGAATCTTTGCTTGTTCAGTCTGTAGGTAATACTTGTGTGGTTTTATTAAAATCTGAAAGTGTTGTGTATCATTCTGAATAGATTCATTTATAAATAATCAGTCCTCTGGCATTGGAATCATCTAATGAAGGTTTTTAAACAAAATTCTAAAAGCTGCTCAATTATAGCCTTCATTAAAATTAAATGCATTAAGTATATTTCAAGGCCAGCTGGGGATTTTTTTATTTTCCTTTTTTATTTTTACTTTCTTTCTTTTTTTATCAAATACTATCTTATGAAATACTGAAATATGTTGAATTCATGATTAAAGTAATTTATAAAGAACAGCAGTGAACCAAAATACAGATGCTCCTCAACTTAGGATGGGATTATGTCCTAGTGTACCCATTATAGTTTGAAAATCCCATAAGTTGAAAGTTCATTTTATACATCTAGCTTAACAAACATCATAGCTTAGTGGAATAAACATGTTGAAGAGCATCAGTTGTTTCCTCTCATGATAACGTGGCTAACCTCAGAATCATGCCCTGTCAGTCTGCTGCCCAGCATTTTGCGAGAGGATCATATCACATATAGCTAGCCCAGGAAAAGAATAAAAAATGTATGGATTCTGCTGAATATGTATCACTTTCAATTTTCATTGAAAATTCATAAGTACATCAAGGACCATCTATAGATAATACTTTGATAATTTAATGGAATTGCAACCAAATTGAACTGAATAGGTCATCCAAATGGATTTTGAAATCACACAGATTGTTGACAAGGATATGGGAGAGAGGTGAAAATATGGTGATTCAGATGCTAAGTCTACTCTGAAAACCAGGGTGACCAAGAGACTGACAGACATCTGCTTAGAGAACTAACAGAGGGTGATGTAAATATTTTTGCATGAATTCAAAGGACAATGCTCTTTTTTCATAGGTGATTTCTCATTATCAGTGTAAAGAGCAGCGTGATGCCCATAGATTTGAAAAAATCAGCAATATTATTAAGCAATTCAAGCTGAGCTGCAGGTAAGAGATCTTGTATATGTGATCTATCTCTGGTAAAAAAAAAGTTATTGTAGTTTTTAAGAAGTTCAAATAATTATGGTAAACTGAACTTCTATACTCAGAATAGTTCCTTTAATTAAAAGAAATGTAAACTCTAAGGGAGTCTTCAGTTGACGAAAGGGAAGGTCATTGTCCTTTAATATGAACTCAACTGGTACAGAAGCAAGTGAAAAGTATTCAAGTAGCTTATGTTTTTGAGATGTTTGATACTATTTGGGAAGAATAAGGAAGGAGAGTGTGCCTTACTAAATACCAAAATTTGCTGTAAAACTACAGTAATGAAAATATGAAGGTACTAATTAATTCCAAAATGGTACAGCATGTTTAATCATGTTGTGCCAGCTATGGTTAAATACAATCTGAATCTTAGCATTATGAATATAAAAAGAAGGAACACTTGAACATTATAATTTTGTAAGATTTCATAATTAAAATTCTCACCCTAGTAAGACCTTAATGCTTACAAAGTAGGGATAGTTTACCCTCTTGATACTTTAGCACACTTTGACATTTTCTAGGATTTTTATGCTAACAGTTTTAAGAAGAAATAATAAATGACAAGCATAAATATTTATTCTGTTTTCAAATAAATGGGATCGTTTCTCAAATTTGAATGTAACATTGAAAAGCTCTAGGTATTAATCTCAATGATAGAGGAATTTCAACTTAAGCTGCTTCTTAAATATTAAAGAAGTTTTCTTGTAACATGATTTTTTTAAATGAATCTAAATCTAAGCCCATTGTCTTTTCACAGTCAAAATGAACTTGTCACCCACTTTTCTTCTGACTTCCCAAACCATGTTAAATTCAGTATCAGTTTCCTTGGAAAATAAAATGGGGTTAGTGATTACCTTAATGAAGTGGTAAATTGAAGTATGATGCTATAAAATGCTTAACATAAAAGGTGAAAGCTTCTCAAAATGTTATTTTACTTTAACTACTTTTCTACTTCCCCTTACAGCAAGCTGGCTGCCTCTTTCCAGAGTATGGAAGTTAGAAATTCTAATTTTGCTGCTTTCATTGATATCTTTACATCCAACACTTATGTGATGGTTGTGATGTCAGATCCATCCATTCGTAAGTATAAACTTAGCTGACATAGTTCCAAAGCCATGTATTCTTTAAACAATTGCCTTAGAGGTAATACTTTATTAGATACTTAAAAACTATTTTGTGATGCTGATTGTTTCACAACAATAATAAGGTACTATAAAAAGAAAGCATTTGGGGGCTGACTTTGTGGTGTAGTGGGTTAAGCTGCCACCTGTGATGTCAGTATCCCATCTGGGTGCCAGTTCAAGAACCAACTGCTTCACTTCCAATCCAGATCCCTGCTAGTGTACCTGGGGAGGCAGCAGCGAGTGGCCCAAGTGCTTGGGCCCCTGCATCCGTTTGGAGACCTAGATAAAGCTCCTGGTTTTGACCTGGCCAAGCCCTGGTCATTGAGGCCATTAGGGGAGTGAACCAACAGATCTCTCCCTCTGTGTCTCTCCCTATCTCTCTGTAATGCTGCCTTTCAGGTTATATAAATAAATCTTTTTTAAAAAGGAACACTTTATGTCATGAATACTTTACCGCATTAAATAAAAAGGTATTTTAGTACTAGTGATAAATAATTTTTATTTAAGACTAATATTTTGAAGCTTAAAAATAATTTAGCCTCTAGTCCAATACATTTTTGTCATAGAAACTTCAGAAAGTAAGTTACTAAATTCAGGAATTTTAAGAAAAGAGATCCCAAATCCATGATTATGCTCCATATGGAAAATATTTTTAATACTAGTCAATTGGAGTGCTAAACTGTTAAACACTGAATGATTTTGTATGTCATTATATATTCCTATGTACCATATTCCTGTATTTATGTTACGAGCATGAAGGGTAATAGCCATGTTCGTGACAACCATTAAAATGATGGTTCTTATAATATTTCCAGGATACTCCCAAAAGTTTTAATGGTTTCTCATCTACTGGCTTTTCTTACATTAGGCCAATATTGAATTATAATGTAATATAATTTTTATGATACTAGCTCCAAACCAAAAGATTTTGGAAATTTATGTTGGAAATTTTGTGTTTAGAATATGCAGAAATCACCTATTTAGTAAAATTTTGGGACCGGTGCAGCAGGTTAAAGCACTGCCTTCAATGCTGGCATCCCATTATGGGCACCAGTTGGAGTCCCGGCTGCTTCACTTCCATTCTAGCTCCTTGCTATTGTGCTGGGAAAGCAGTAGAAGATGGCCTGAGTACTTGGGTACCTGCACTCATGTGGGAGACCTGGATGGAGTTCCAGACTTCTTCCTAGCTTTAGCCTGACCCAGCCTTGGCTGTTGTAGCGATTTGGGGAGTGAACCAGCAAGTGGAAGATCCTCTTTCTCCCTGTCTCTCCCTAACTTTGCTTTTCAAAAAATAAGTCTTTAAAAATAAAATAAAATAAAATAAAAAATCGGCCGGTGGTGCGGCTCACTTGGCTAATCCTCCGCCTGCGGCACCGGCACCCCGGGTTCTAGTCCCACTTGGGGCGCCGGATTCTGTCCCCGTTGCTCTTCTTCCAGTCCAGCTTTCTGCTGTGGCCCGGGAAGGCAGTGGAGGATGGCCCAAGTGCCTGGGCCCTGCACCCGCATGGGAGACCAGGAGAAGCACCTGCTCCTGGCTTCGGGTTGGCGCAGCGTGCTGGCCATAGCGGCCATTTGGGGGGTGAACCAACGGATAGGAAGACCTTTCTCTCTCTCTCTCTCTCTGTCTAAATCTGCTTGTCAAAAAAAAAAAATAGGAAAATTAAACCTTGATAACCCGAGACCATCTGTTTCTATGTGTTCTCTGTGACACAGATTGAAAAATTTGGCTCTCTTTTGCTTATTTGATTTTACTGGTTACATGTTTCTTTGCCCATACTTATTCTGTTGGGTATCTCCCCACCCCTACCCTCAGCTTCTGCAGCTACTCTGATCAACATCCGAAATGCCAGGAAACACTTTGAAAAGCTGGAAAGAGTCGATGGACCAAAGCAGTGCCTTCTCATGCGCTAAACATTGCCGAATATTGTTTTACATTTAAAAAGTGAAGCACTGTTTCTTAATTAATCTTAATGTTCTATTCATATATGTAGGCTCTGAAATGTTGTGATGCTAACTATTGCTGTATTTCTTTTCTATGCCTTAGTCTTAACATTTAACCTTTAATGCTATTTCCTCAAGTAGCCAGTGAAGAGGTAGAAGATGACCTTTCCATAAAGTCAGTGTAAAATAAAAGTAGGTGATATGTTAAGTGTTCTCTTAATAAGCTTCTAGTAGTGTTTAAGTGTTATGATAATCTGATTCCAATAGTAGTGTATGTCAAACCCTTTCCCAGTATCGTCCTGTATTCCCTACCAGATAGTAACCACTAAGCTTGGAGTATTACTGTTTTCTCAGCATGCATTAAAAATATTCCTTAACTTCAACTGTAAATAAACTTTTGCTGTTAGGCATTTCAGTGTTTGTTTTTCTTGTTTCTTCAACTTTGCAGTAAGAGTGGGCAATGGAATTTCATAGTTACCCTAGGCAAAGGGGACCTGTTGGCAAGGGAAATGTACAAAATAAAGTTGGATGGGAAAGAGAGTCAGATTATAGCCTTAAAGCTGGGCAGAAAAGTTTAGCTTTATGAATAGCTAAATGTGATAAGTGGTAAGAAAGCATTGTAGGCTTTTGACCAGGAGAATTTGTGAAAGCAGATTTGAAACAAAATTAACCTAGACTCTATGGAAAAAATGATGGCAGCTGGGGAAACTGGTAGTATTCCAGGCCTAAGGTGTGCTGTAAGTCTATTCTAGAATGCAGCTGGAGATGGAATGAATAAAAAGTCAAGGGATAATAGATAGGATTTGTTGGATGAAAGTCATCTTTGAGGTTTGACAATGATTAATTTTGTTTTATCCATGACATTATTCTAGTCAAGCCCTTTTTAAAACCTTTCATAAGCTGGGAGATGTGTTTAACTTTTTACCCCCTGGCAAAAATAAAGCACTGTGAAATGGGAGAATGGGGTTTGACAGCAATAACTAGAATTATTCAAAGCCCTAAACTTTTTAATTTCTAACAATAGGATGACAGACCATCAGTCTCTAACTTTTCTCCAGGTTACTTTATTATCCTCAGTTGAGGGATCAAGTTTTCACTGAAAAGTAAAGAAAGTGTTTTATTATATATTTTAATAATCTCAAGTCTTAACATCATTGGACTAATTTTATCAACAGCTTTTTTAATCTTCTGCAGAAAGAGTGTTTTAAGTAGAAGTTTCAAATTTGTTATGTTCTTTGCATCTTAGCAAAATGAAAAGAGCAAATAAACAAGGATCTATTCCACAACTAATATGAGTCATGATTTGGCATGTGCTCATTTGTGGGATTTAGCAGTCACTTTAAAGTTTTTTTTTTTCAGATGAATAGATACAAATATTGAAATGGAGACATTAAATTAGGTGAACATGGATGAAATCATAAAGCATATGACTTTACCCTATTTGCCCTTTGATCAAGCCTTGCTTAGCTGTAACTTGAACTTCGGGGTGTATAGAAAGCAAGAATGTTTAGAAAAATAATATTTTGATTTGACTTAATCTTTTTTATGATGATGTCAGCTAGCTTTCTTTGCCACTCAGAAACTAAAGTAAATGAGGGTGTATGTTGAAGGCATGCACACAGAAATGGAGAAAAAAATCAAAATTAGAGAGTAAAAATTGTGACATTATAAGCCATATTATCTATGTCAGTAGGATTGATCAGTGGTTCTCAAACTTGATCATGCATCAAAATTACTGGAAGAGGCCTTTTAAAACAGATTGTTACCCCACTACCCTGAGAGCTTCAAATTCAGTAGGACTGGGGTAGGACCTGTGATTCTATATTTCTAACAAATTCCCAGGTGATGCTGATGCTGAGTCTGGCAGTGCAGAGACTACACTTTGGAAACCACTGTTTTGGGAAAAAGAAGAGGAAATGTAGATGTGTGGGCAAACGTGTGTTGAACAGATTAGCAGTGATAAATTGACGGTGTTAGACCAAGTAAGATGCATATGAAGGTATTTCAAAAGGTTTGTGGGGAAATAGAATTAAAAGGTAAGTTTATTTTGCTGCAAAAATGACTTGAAATCCATGCATGCACCGAGTTTTCAAAAATGTTATGAAAAATGCATATTGTGAAGAAACTATGCATAAATTTCCAAAAAATTACACAAAGTAAACTTATCTTTTATTTACATTTTCCATGAACTTTTTGTTTCTTTATTTGCATGCATTTCATAAATACAACTTTAGGAACATAGTAATTCTTCCCACTGTACCCACCCTCCCACCCATACTCTTACCCTTCCTCTTCTTCCATCTCCTTCTTCCAGTCTTATTTCTAACTAAGATCTATTTTTATTTAACTTTATACACAGAAGATTAACTCTATTCTAGGTAGGTAAAGAGTTCAACACTTTGTATGAGGAAGGAAAAAAAAGAGAAAAATAAACAAAATCTAAAAGCAAAAAATATAAAAAAGAGCCAAAACTGTTCCTTAACAGTCCAAACAAGGGCTCTTCAGAGTCATTGCATCTCGAAGGTAATTTCGCTTTTTGTTTTCAGAAACTTAGTTATCTTTAAAGAACCCAAGAATGATACATCTTTTGCAAGCACTTAGACATAACTATAATTTATGAGACATAAGAATATTCTCCACATAATACACTAAAACAAAATAATTCTTTGAGAATAAGTTTTACTGTTAAGTCTCATAATACATCTCTTTGAGGACAAAGGTCCTGTGTAGGAAGTTAGTGCACAGTGATTCCTGTTGTTTATTCAACATTTAGCAGTCTTATGTATGATGTCAGTGATCACCCGGCACTCTTGACATGAGCTGCATAGGCTATGGAAGCTTTTTGAATCCACAAACTCCTTCAGTATTTCAACTAGGCCATAAACAAAGTGGAAGTTCTCTCCTGCCTTCAGAGAAAAGTGCATCCTTCTTTGATGACCACTGCTCTCCACTGGGGTCTCCCTCACAGAGGTCCTTCATGTAGGACATATTTTGCCACAGTTTCTTGGCTTTTCATGCCTGAAATGTTCCCCTGGGCTTTTCAGCCAGACCAGAATGCCCTAAGGGCTGATTTTGAAGTCATAGTGCTACTTAAGGTGATTGTCATTCTATGAGTCTGCTGTGTGGACTGCTTCCCCATGTTGGAGCATTCAACCTTTTTTAATTCTATTATTAATACCAAACACTTATTTCTATTTATATAATCACTTTAACACTTGACCTTACCTGTATGATCACTTTAACACTTAAGGCTATCCGTATGATCTCTGTAACACATAGAATGCTGTTTTTACCACCAAGATTAATGGAATTTGGACTCCCATGACAAGTTTTTAAGCTGTATAATTAAAAGTAAGTCCAGGGGCCGGCGCCATGGCTCACTTGGTTAATCCTCCACCTGCGACACCGGCATCCCATATGGGCACCAGGTTCTAGTCCCAGTTGCTCCTCTTCCAGTCCAGCTCGCTGCTGTGGCCCTGGAGGGCAGTGGAGGATGGCCCAAGTCCTTGGGCCCCTGCACCTGGCATGGGAGACCAGGAAGAGGCACCTGGCTCCTGGCTTCAAATAAGCGCAGCGTCAGCCGTGGCGGCCATTTGGGGAGTGAACTGTCAGAAGGAAGACCTTTCTCTGTGTCTCTCTCTCTCACTTTCTATAACTCTACCTGTCAAATAAAAAAAAAGTAAGTCCATAGGAATGTATGCAGAACTATACTGCTTTGCAATTACAAACTTCATACATCCAACAATTACAAGTTTAGGGTCATGGTGATTCTTCCCTCTGTGCCTGCCCCTCAACCTACACTCCTACTCCCCTTCCTCTTCCATTTGTTATTCTCTTATTTTAACTAAGACCAATTTTCAATTAACTTTATGCACATATGGTTAACTCTATGGTAAGTAAAGAGTTCAACAATTAGTTTGAAAGAAAAAAATGAGTAAGTAAAATAAGATAAAAGGAAGGAAAAAATTTAAAAATCTTGTTTTTCAGCAGTCAAGGCATGGGCTGTTCAATGCCATTGCTTCTCAAAGTGTCAATTTCACTTCTACAGGTTGCCTTTTAGGTGCTCTATTAGTTATCACAGTTCAGGGAGAACATACAATATTTGTCCTTTTGGGAATGGCTTATTTCCCTAATTGTGATGTTTTCCAGTTTCATCCATTTTTTTTTTTTTGCAAATGACCAGATTTCTTTTTTTTTACTGCTGTATTCCAAGGTGTACATATCCCATAATTTCTTTATTAGGTCTTCAATTGACAGGCATTTGGATTGATTCTGTGTCTTTGCTATTGTGAATTGAGCTGCAATAAACATGGAGCTACAAATAGCTTTTTCATATGCTGATTTCATTTCCCTTGGGTAAATTCCCAGGAATGGGATCACTGGGTCACATGGTAGGTCTATAATCAAGTTTCTGAGATATCTCCGTACTGTATTCCATAGTGGCCTTACCAGTTTACATACCCAGCTTACATACCCACTAGCAGCCAGTTTGTTGTTTGGTGATTTCTGTATGAAAGCAATTCTTATGGGGGTGAAGTAAAACATCATTGTGGTTTTGATTTGCATTTCTCTGATGGCAAGCAATCTTGAGCATTTTTTCCTGGTTTGTTGGCCGTTTGGATTTCCTCTTTTGAAAAATGTCTATTTAAGTGCTTTGCCCATGTCTTAACTGGATTGTTTGTTTTGTTGATGCTGAGTTTCTTGATATCTTTATTTATTCTGGTTATTAATCATTTATCATTTGTATAGTTTGCAAATAATTTCTCCCATTCTGTAGGTTGCCTCTTCACTTTGCTGATTGTTTCTTTTGCAGTGCAGAAGCTTCTCAATTTTATGTAATCACATTTGTTGATTATGGCTTTGATTGCCTGTGCCTTTGTAGTCTTTTCCAAGAACTCTTTGTCTATGCTGATGTCTTGGAGGGTTTTCCCAATGTTCTCTAATAATTTGTTGGTTATTGTGTCTAAATTTAGATCTTTAGTCCATTTTGAGTGGATTGTAGTGAAATAAGTGCAGCAGGATTCTTGTTTCATGCTTATGCATGTGGCGATCGAGTTTTCCCAGTACCATTTATTGAAGAGACTGTCCTTGCTCCAGGATTTTATTTTAGCTCCTTTGTCAAAGACAAGTTAGTTGTAGATGCTTGGATTGATTTATGGAGTTTCTATTCTGTTCCATTGGTTTATCCATGTGTTTTTCTACCAGTACCAAGCTATTATGATTATATAACTTTCCTGCAGTATGTCTTGAAGTCCAGTATTGTGATGCCTCTGGTTTTGTTTTTGTTGTATAAAGTTGCTTTAGCTATTCATGGAATTTCAGTATCATTTTTTTCTATATCTGAGAAGGATGTCTTTGGTATTTTGATTGGTTTCGCATTGAAAATATAAATTGCTTTCAGTAGTATGGACATTTTGATGATATTGTTTCTTCCACTCCATGAACATGGAAGATTTTCCCATTTTTGTGTGTCTTCTTCTATTTCTTTCTTTAATGTTTTGTAATTACACCATAGAGATCGTTGACATCCTTGGTTAAATTTATTCCAAGGTATTTGATTTTTTGGTAACTATTGTGAATGGCATTGATCTTAGAAGTGCTTTCTCAGCTGTGACATTGTCTGTGTATACAAAGGCTGTTGATTTTTGTTTGTTGATTTTATATCTTGCTTCTTTTCCAAATTCTTCTATGAGTTCCAATAGTTCTTAGTGGAGTTTTTTGGATCCCTTCTATGTAGAATCCTGTCACCCGCCAATAGGGATATTTTGACTTCCTTCTTCCCAATTTGTATTCCTTTGATTTATTTTTCTTGCCTGATGGCTCTTGCTACAATTTCCAGGACTCTATTGAATAGCAGTGGTTACAGTGGGCATCCATGTCTGGTTCCAGATCTCAGTGGGAACACTTCCAGCTTTTCTCTGTTCACTAGGACACAGGCCAGGGGTTTGTCATAACATAACTTGATTGTGTTGGGAAATGCTCCTTCTAGTTCTAATGAGCTTAGAATTTTCATCATGAACGGGTGTTGTATTTGTCAAATGCTTTTTCTGCGTATATTGATATAATCATGTGTATTTTGTTCTTTAATTTGTTGATGTGGTGTTATCACATTGAATGATTTTTGGATGTTGAGCCATCCCTAAATCCCACTTTGGGGGAATTATCTTTCTTATGTGTTGTTGTATTCATTTGGCTAATATTTGCTGAGGATTTTTGTGTCTATGTTCACCAGGGAAATTGGTCTTCTGCAGGTTTAGGAATTAAAGTGATGCTGGTTCTTAGAAAGAATTTGGGAGGATTGTCTCCATTTCAGTTGTTTTGAAAAGCTTAAGAAGTGGAGTTACTTCTTTAAATGTTTGGTAGAATTCAGCGTGAAGCCATCTCTTCCAGGGCTTTTCTTTTTTGGGAGGGTCTTTATTATTAATAATTCAATTTATGTCTTGGTTATTGGTTTGTTTATTTTTCTATGTCTTCATGGCTCATTTTAGGTATGTCTTGTGTGGCCAGGAGTTTGTCAATTTCTTCTAGGTTTTCCATTTTGTTGGCATAGAGCTCTTTGTAGTAGTTTCTCGTGATTCTTTTAATTTCTGTGGAGTCTGTTGTTACATCTCCTTTTTAATCTCTAATTTTAATAATTTGGGTCCTCTCCCTCCTTTTTTTAGTTAATTGGGCCAATGGTGTGTCAGTTTTATTTATTTTTTCCAAAAGTCTGCAGTTCGATTGCTGATAATTTTTATTGTTTTGTTTTGATCTTGTTTATGTCTTCTCTAATTTTTATTTTTGACAGGCAGAGTTAGACAGTGAGAGAGAGAAACAGAGAGAAAGGTCTTCCTTCTGTTGGTTCACCCCCAAAATGGCTGCCACGGCCAGCGCGCTGTGCTGCTCCGAAGCCAGGAGCCAGGTGCTTCCTCCTGGTCTCCCATGCGGGTGCAGGGCCCAAGGATCTGGGCCATCCTCCACTGCCTTCCCGGGCCACAGCAGAGAGCTGGACTGGAAGAGAAGCACCCGGGATAGAATCCGGCGCCCTGACCGGGACTAGAACCCGGTGTGCCGGTGTCGCAGGCGGAGGATTAGCCTAGTGAGCCATGGCGCCGGCCTTGCTGTTACTTTAGTAGGTCCTTGAGATATATTAATAGATCAATTACTTGATGCCTTTCCAATTTTTTGTGCAGGCAATAATAGCTACAGACTTCTCTCTTAACACTGCTTTGGCCGTATTATATAACTTTTTATATGTGGTATTGTAGTTTTCATTCATTTCCAGAAACTTTTTTGGTTTCTCTTTTGATTTCTTTTATGACCCACTGTCCATTCAGGAGAATTTTGTTCAGTCTCCATGTGTTTGCGTATGTTCTGGAGATTCCTGAGTTGTTGATTACCAATTTCATTGCATTCTTGTCAGAGAAGATTCATCGTATGATTTCAATTGATTTGAATTTCCTGAGACTTGCTTTATGGCCTAGCATGTTGTCAATCCTAGAGAAAGTTCCTTGCACTGCTGAGAAAAATGTGTATTCTGCAACTGTAGGATAAAAAGTTCTGTAGATATCTGTTAGGTCCATTTGGTCTATAGTATCAATTAATTCTTTTGTTTCTTTGCTGTTTCTGTCTAGTTGTTCTGTCCATTGCTGAAAGTGGAGTATTGAAATCCATCATTATATTTGTGTCTGTGTCTCTCTTTAAATCCATTAACATTTATTTTAAATAGCTAAATGCCCTGTAATTATGTGCATATTTGTTTATAATAGTCACTTCTTCCTGTTGAATTGGTTCCTTGATTATTACAGAGTGCCCTTTTTTGTCTTTTTAGTATTGAAGTCTATTTGGTTTGATATTAAGATGGCTACATCAGCTCTTTTTTGGTTTCTGTTAGTGTGGATTATCTTTTCCCATCTTTTCACTTTCAATCTGCAAGTACCATTGTTGGTGAGATGTGTTTCATGTAGGCAGAAAATAGCTGGGTTTTCTTTTTTTAATCCATTCAGCCAGCCAATATCTTTTAACTGAGAGTTGGGTCCATTCACATTCAAGGTAACTATTTATAAGTAATGACTTTGCCCTGCCATTTTTCCTTTAATAGTCCTGTTTGGTTTTTTTTTTTTTTTTTACTTTGGATTTCCTTTGTATTTCTTTATTTTAATTTTTTTAAAGATTTATTTTATTTATTTGAAATACAGAGTTACAGAGAGAGGTAGAGACAAAGAGACAGGTCTTCCATCCCCTGGTTCACTCCCCAGATGGCCGCAACAGCCGGAGCTGTGCCTATCCAAAGCCAGGAACCAGGAGCCAGGAGCTTCTTCCAGGTCTCCCATGTGGATGCAGGGGCCCAAGGACTTGGGCTGTCTTCAACTGCTTTCCCAGGGCATAACAGAGAGCTGGATCAGAAGAGGAGCAGCCGGGACTAGAACCGGAGCCCATATGGGATGCTAACGCTTCAGTCCAGTGCTTTACCCTGCTGCACCACAGCGCCGGCCCCCTTAGTACTTTTACTGAGAGTTTTTCTGCCTTCGCCTTCTTCCCAAGTGATGACTCTGTTTCTGTGTTTCTGTTTGTAGCACATCCTTACTCATCTTTTGTATTCTGGATAGGTGGTGAAAAATTCTTTAAATTTCTGGTTGTTATGGAAGGTCCTTAATTCACTTTCATTTCTAGATGAGAACTTTGCATGGTGTAGTATTCTAGGTTGACGGTTTTTTTCTCTTAAGACTTGTAATATATCTAGCTATTGTTTCCTGGCCTGTAGGGTTTCTGATGAGAAGTCCGCTATGAGTCTAATAGGAGTTCCTCTGAAAGTAATTTGGCGTTTCTCTTGTGTATGTTTTAGAATCTTTATGTTTTGCTGTGGAGAGTTTACTAAAATGTATCATGGTGAAGTTCTTTTCTGGTCATGTCTATTTGGGAGATCTATGTGCTTCCTGTACTTGGATTTCCCTTTCTTTATCCAAATTAGGTAAATTTTCTGATATTAATTCACTGAAAAGGCCTTCTTATCCTTTCCCTCTTTCCAAGCCTTCAGGAACTCCTAGAACCTGCATGTTGGGTTGTTTGATAGAATCCTGTATATCTCCAACCGTGTTTTTTAGTTTTATAATTTCTTCTTGTTTTTGATCTGACTTAAAATTTCCAGAGATTTGTCTTCTAGCTTGGATATTCTCTCTTCTGCCTCACCAACTCTGTTTTTAAGACTTCCCACTACATTTTTATTTGATATATTGAATTCTTCATTTCTAGTATTTCATTTTGATTTCTCTTTAAGATCTCAATTTCACGGGAAAATTTTTGATTCATATCATGTATAGTTTTGTGTAGCTGATGAATTTGCTTCTGAGTAATCTGATGATCAGTTTTTTGAATTCCGTTTCTGACACTTCCTCAATTTCTTCATCTTTATCTTCTAATATTGAAATGGTGTAGCGTTCCTTAGGGGGCTCATAGTGACTTCCTTATTGTTAGTTCTTGAATATTTTCCTTTATTGTTTGACATTTGTAGATTTTTTTTGTTTTTTCTTGTAGCTTTTGTCTTTGTGTCTCTGTGGTTTAGTGGGGCGTCTATACTGTCAGTGAATACCAAGAAGTGTGTGCTACATGTCCTAGAGTGCTCTGTTCAGTATTCCAGGCTGGGGCAAGTATCCAGGTTAAGATCCCCACTGGGCATGGTAGCTCTCCTCTGAGCTGATGGACACCACAGTGCTAGTCCTCCATGTGCTCAGCACTCATCCACTCTGCTTAATGAACTGTACTTTTGATCTGTGGAGTCTTCCTCTGAGCACAGTTCCCTCTGTTATGAGCTGTTATAGGTAACCAAGGAGCTCGGAGAGTATGGAGAGGCTCTCTGGTTGCCCAGCATCTAGCCACACTCTGACTCCTCTTTTGCAGTCACTGTTTTCTCAGACACAGCTCCCAGGGCTCTTTGGGTCATGGATTGTCAATGGGGCCGCTTCACCCCACTAGCCAGTCCTTTCTATAAGGAAATTCAGGTGTTCCCATAGCTGCTATCTGTGTGTGGTCCTCCCAACCAGCTTCAGTGTTGGTGGAGGGTTTTTTTCCCCCCCTCTGGTTAGGTCTGTGGTTTGCAGGCACGTTCTTGCCCACTGCAACCCTGATCACTTCCGTAGTGCTGTGTGGGTAGGAGAGTCCCACAAGCAGTGCATTCCCCTACCTAGGGTTGGCTCTCCCTCCCCTCCTTTTGCCAGGCAACTGGCAGGGTGCAACTGGCATGGAGGGGGAAGGAATTCTTCTGGATTGTTGTGGCCCTCATTAATTGGGTAGAGTGTAGCCCCTGTTATTTATTGCTGTGTGCATGCATGGGAGGTGGAGCAGCAGCTACTTTCCTGTGTCAAAAAAATGGTGTGAGCCTGTGAGCCCTTTTCCCACTGGTTTCTGGTCTCTGTTGTAGCAGGGAGGAGGGAAGGAGAGGGACTCAATCCCTCTATTTTTTTCCTTCTTTTTTTTTTCCCTCTCTTCCCGCCTCGGCTGTCTTAGTGGGTTCATGTGGAACTTTAAAAGTGGTTCACCAGTTCCGTGGGCCTGTGGATTCCCCTCTCACCTGGTTTTCCCGGGTTGGTATCTTCCTCCCCAGTTCCCAGCTTTCGTTGTTTTCTGTTGTTTATTGGCTCCCTTGGCATGGGTCTGGACCATTTCTATTGCTGGCTCTGGGTCTCTTGCTGGGGTTCCTCCAGGCCTCTAACCTATGAATGTACTTTCTTCCTCTTTTAAACATTAATTTTGCCCCACGTACGTTGGACTGTCCTGTTGCTATTCTGGAATCTTGGAACTCCATGCACTTTTGAATTATCCTTGTGGCTTTAGGCTGCTTATCTGTAGAATGATCTAAAAGTTTGAGACCCGGAAGCACTGTTTTAAACAAAAGCAATAACTGAGAAGCTTCTATTTTATAAGTAATACGTTAAGAATGGAAATCATGGCTAGCATAAGGAAAATATTGGTACTGATTTGTGTAAGCACCTGGATTCTTCCAGTTTCAACAAGCTTTATTTGCTAATTCAATAAGGTATCATGAAATTTTTTGTGAGTTGTCAAATGAAAACACTGCTGCCATCAGTTTAGTACTTACTAAGTATCAGATTGAAAGATTGTCTTATTAAATCTTCACAAAAACTCAATGAGTTAAGTATTATCACTCTCCCCATTTTGCAGATGCAGAAACTGGGCTCAGAGTGGATAAGAAGTTTGCCTGCAGAAATATAGGATTGCTAAAATTGGGACTTGAACTCAATTAGTATAACTATAGAGATAGTACACTTAACCATAACTTTGAAGTTATAAGGCCTTTCTGAATGTAAAGACCTACACAGAGTGGAGACTATGCAGTACATCCAGGTGCTACCACTGTGTTGGCTGCTGTGGAAATAATAAAGCATCAGAATGTAAGGACCTACTCAGAGTGGAGAGTATGAGGTGCATCCAGGTGCTATCACTGTGTTGGGTGCTATGAAAATAATAAGGCAGACACTTGTGAACCTATCATACTCCTGTTTCCACTGGGGCTTCACCATGTAAGAAGCTTTATCAGAATAGGCAGTTCAAAGCAGAGTCAATAGTAAAACCAAACAAAACACCCTCCATCTTGCAGGGTTTTTTTATTTTTAAGATTCCCCTGAATTGGGCTACTGTAAGCAGTTATAATCTCTACATCTCTGAAACTGTTTAGCAAATATAGGAAGCAGAGTATGATTTTGTTTTAGGTCTTCCTACCACAATGCAAAGAGCAACTTACAATTTCTCAATTAAATTATTGTCTCTGTTCTTATAAAACATCAAGTCTGTCAGGGCCCTCCCACAGCCATTACTAATGAAACTTCTGGCTTCATTAATTTAGTCAGATGTTTTCAACACCGATTGTGTTACAGGCACTGTCTTTAGATATTGGGATACAGAGTGAACAAAAGAAAGCTCCTGTGCTCATGGAGTTTATATGTAGTAAGGGAAGACAGACAACCAACTAAGTAAACGTAGCGTATTAGGAGAGATGAGAACTACGAAGAAAGTTAGAATAGTGATGGGGAAATATGTTGGGATAGGCTGAATAACTGTCCCCTGCCCAAGTTGTGCATATCCTAGTTCTTTACCTGCTATTCCACAGCACTAACCCTGGAACATTGGGCTTTAAGTTTCATTTTTATGCATATTTATCTGATTGTGGTATCAAGGTTATGATGGTTTCATATATGAAGTTAAGAAATATTTGCTTCCCTTCTATTAGCTGAGAAACCTACACTTCATGGTTAATATGTTTATATAAACTCATATTAAACATTTTATTATAAATTTTATAATTAAATAATATTAAATAAATGATTAATAGATAAATTTATTTAATAAGATTTATTGTATTAACATTTTATTATTATATTTTTAATAAAACTCTTTAGTGAAAAGTATAACTAAGAGGAGAGGTTGATCTCGAGATTCAAATTTAGTCTTGACATTGGATAAAATCAACTAAATTGTGAATATAGGTAGAAAAACATTTAGGCAGTCATTTACAATGTTTAAAGAGCATTATTCATTGAAAGGAGCAAATGGCTTGCTACAAAGTATTATGGCAGTGCTCTCATTAATAAAGTTGTAGAATCTCAGACTCTTGTAAAGAAGATACATCCTCCAAAAATGTGAGGTGTTGAATTGGACAATTTCTTAAGTTTATCTTCAGCCCCATATCTATGTTTTTACAAAAATTCTTTTACTTTTAAGAATGTTTGTTAGCATGTAATACTTGCACCTTTTTGTGGGGTACAGTGCAATATTTCACTACATAGACACAGTGTAAAATAGTTAAACCAGGCAACTGACTTTTCCATTTCTTTATCATTGTTTGAGTGTTTGGAGCCTACTGGCTCTGCTTTTCAGTTTTACACAGTATATAATATATTATTATGAACTACAGTTTCCCCTTGCCACTGTGCTATGGAACGCTAGATTTTGTTACTTCTGTCTGTCTTTGTTTTGGTACCTGTTATGTACCCTTCCTCTAACCCCTCTCCTTCCACCCTGCCCAGCCTCTAGTAATTGCTATTATAAGTTAATGTGAACTTCCACATATGAGAGCAAACATGTGGTATTTGTCTTTCTGTGTCTGACTTATTTGACTTAACATAATGTTCTCCATGTCTACCCATCAGGGTTTTATTCTTTTTCATGACCAAATAATACCTTTAAAAAATTGCATCTAATATTTACTGATCAGTTAATATATGCCAGGTATGGTCTCTAAATATATTTACAATGTATTTACATATATTAATTCAGTGTCACAGCAGCCCTATGAAGTGGCTATTGCTATTATGTCCTTTTTACATGAGGAAACTGAGGAATTTGCAGTAAAACCTCTCCAACCTAAAATCCCTCCAAAATTACAACTCTATCTTATAAATGTATTTTACAGTTTTAAAGTTAGTTTCTTGAAAATTTTGTCTCTTTTTTTTTCTCAATACTCTTGTGAGATTGATTAGGAATGGTACTAGCACACTTTTATAGATAAAGCTCATGAGGGTCAAAGATATGATGATTTATTGGAGGTCACAAAGCTAGTGAAGTGTATAGTTGGGACTCAAACTCAGTCCTTATATTTCCAAGCCAATCTCATCTATGCTTGGTATACAAACTTTCTTTTTTTTTTAACTTTTATTTGATGAATATAAATTTCCAAAGTACGATTTATGGATTACAATGGCTTCCCCCACATACCGTCCCTCCCACCCACTACCCTCCCCTTTCCCACTCCCTCTCCCCTTCCATTCACATCAAGATTCATTTTCGATTATCTTAATATACAGAAGATCAGCTTAGTATACATTAAGTAAGGATTTCAACAGTTTGCTCTCACACAGAAACATAAAGTGAAAAATAATAGATGATTTTTTTTTAAATGATGATGAAATCAGATCAGACCTATTGTCATGTTTAATCCCAGTGAGAGTCAAGTTGGGAGTTGATAATTTCTTTCTTTTTTTTTTTTTTTTACAGAGGATCAGTTTAGTATGCATTAAGTAAAGATTTCAACAGTTTGCACCCCCATAAAAACACAAAGTGAAATATATTGTTTGACTACTCGTTATAGCATTAAGCCTCAGTGTACAGCACATGAAGGACAGAGATCCTACATGAGGAGTAAGTGCACAGTGACTCCTGTTGTTGACTTTACCAATTGACACTCCTGTCTATGGCATCAGTAATCTCCCTATGCACCAGTCATGAGTTTCCAAGGCTATGGAAGCCCCTTGAGTTCTCCGACTCTTATCTTGTTTAGACAAGGTCATAGTCAAAGTGGAGGTTCTCTCCTCCCTTCAGAGAAAGGCACCTCCCTCTTTGAAGACCTGTTCTTTCCACTGGGATCTCACTCACAGAGATCTTTTTGCCAGAGTGTCTTGGCTTTCCATGCCTGAAATACTCTCATGGGCTTTTCAGCCAGATCCGAGTGCCTTTAGGGCTGATTCTGAGGCCAGAGTGCTATTTAGGACATCCGCCATTCTATGAGTCTGCTGAGTATCTCACTTCCCATGTTGGATCACTCTCCCCTTTATTTATTCTATCGGTTAGTGTTAGCAGATACTAGACTTGTTTATGTGCTCCCTTTGACTCTTAGTCCTTTCATTATGATCAATTGTGAACTGAAATTGATCACTTGGAATAGTGAGATGGCATTGGCACATGCCACCTTGATGGGATTGAATTGGAATCCCCTGGTATGTTTTTAACTCTACCATTTGGGGCAAGTCAGCTTGAGCATGTCCCAAATTATACATCTCTTCCCTCTCTTATTCCCACTCTTATGTTTAACACGGATCACATTTCACTTAATTTTTAACACTTAAGAATAACTGTGTATTAATTACAGAATTAAACCAGTCATATTAAGTAGAACAGACAAAAAAACTACTAAGAGGGATAATGTATTAAGTTGTTCATTAACAGTCAGGGCTATGCTGTATCAAGTCACCGTTTCCCATAGAGTCCGTTTCACTTCAGGAGGTTTCCTTTTTGGTGTTCAGTCAGTTGTCACCGATCAGGGAGAACATATGGTATTTGTCCCTTTAGGACTGGCTTATTTCACTCAGCATGATGTGTTCCAGATTCCTCCATTTTGTTGCAAATGACTGGATTTCGTTGTTTCTTACTGCAGTATAGTATTCTAAAGAGTACATATCCCATAATTTCTTTATCCAATCTACCGTTGATGGGCATTTAGGTCGGTTCCAGGTCTTAGCTATTGTGAATTGAGCTGCAATAAACATTAGGCTGCAGACCGCTTTTTTGTTTGCCAATTTAAATTCCTTTGGGTAAATCCCAAGGAGTGGGATGGCTGGGTCGAACGGTAGGGTTATCTTCAGGTTTCTGAGGAATCTCCAGACTGACTTCCATAGTGGCTTGACCAGTTTGCATTCCCACCAACAGTGGGTTAGTGTCCCTTTTTCCCCACATCCTCGCCAGCATCTATTGTTGGTAGATTTCTGAATGTGAGCCATTCTAACTGGGGTGAGGTGAAACCTCATTGGTGGTTTTGATTTGCATTTCCCTGATTGCTAGTGATCTTGAACATTTTTTCATGTGTCTGTTGGCCATTTGGATTTCCTCTTTTGAAAAATGTCTATTGAGGTCCTTGGCCCATCTCTTAAGTGGGTTGTTTGTTTTGTTGTTGTGGAGTTTCTTGATCTCTTTGTAGATTCTGGTTATTAACCCTTTATCTGTTGCATAGTTTGCAAATATTTTTTCCCATTCTGTCAGTTGTCTCTTCACTCTCCTGACTGTTTCTTTTGCAGTACAGAAACTTCTCAATTTGATGCAATCCCAATAGTTAATTTTGGCTTTGACTGCCTGTGCCTCCCGGGTCTTTTCCAGAAACTCTTTGCCTGTGCCAATATCTTGAAGGGTTTCTCCAATGTTCTCTAGTAACTTGATGGTGTCAGGTCGTAGATTTAGGTCTTTAATCCATGTTGAGTGGATTTTTGTGTAAGGCGTAAGGTAGGGGTCTTGCTTCAGGATTCTGCACGTGGAAATCCAGTTTTCCCAGCACCATTTATTGAATAGACTGTCCTTGCTCCAGGAATTAGTTTTAGATCCTTGATCAAATATAAGTTGGCTGTAGATGTTTGGGTTGATTTCTGGTGTTTCAATACTGTTCCATTGGTCTATCCATCTGTTTCTGTACCAGTACCATGCTGTTTTGATTACAACTGCCCTGTAGTATGTCCTGAAATCTGGTATTGTGATGCCTCTGGCTTTGTTTTTGTTGTACAAGATTGCTTTAGCTATTCGAGGTCTCTTGTGCCTCCATATAAATTTCAGCACCAATTTTTCCAGATCTGAGAAGAAGGTCTTCGGTATCTTGATTGGTATTGCATTGAATTTATAAATTGCTTTTGGGAGAATGGACATTTTGATGATATTGATTCTTCCAATCCATGAGCATGTCAGATTTTTCCATTTCTTGGTATCCTCTTCTATTTCTTTCTTTAAGGTTTTGTAATTTTCATCGTAGAGATCTTTAACGTCCTTGGTTAAGTTTATTCCAAGGTATTTGATTGTTTTTGTAGCTATTGTGAATGGGATGGATCTTAGAAGTTCTTCCTCAGCCATGGCATTGTCTGTGTATACAAAGGCTGTTGATTTTTGTGCATTGATTTTATACCCTGCTACTTTGCCAAACTCTTCTATGAGTTCCAATAGTCTCTTAGTAGAGTTCTTTGGGTCCCCTAAATAAAGAATCATGTCATCTGCAAAGAGGGATAGTTTGAGTTCTTCCTTCCCAATTTGTATCCCTTTAATTTCTTTTTCTTGCCTAATAGCTCTGGCTAGAACCTCCAGAACTATATTGAATAGCAGTGGTGAGAGTGGACATCCCTGTCTGGTACCAGATCTCAGTGGAAATGCTTCCAACTTTTCCCCATTCAATAGGATGTTGGCTGTGGGTTTTTCATAGATTGCTTTGATTGTATTGAGGAATGTCGTTCTAACCCAGTTTGCTTAGAGTTTTCATCATGAACGGGTGTTGTATTTTTATCACATG